TACAGCACGGTACGCTTTGTCTGGCTTCCTTCTACGCTTGCTAGACTTCTTGCTAGTTGGTACGTCATAGATGGAAGAACTTCCTTCTGTTACTCTGACGAGTAACTGCAGGTTCTTGTGCTGATGACAGACAACTCCAACAAATCTCCTGAAGTGAACAAAATGGCTTTTTCCCCCCTAGACTTGCACAGGGAGTCTTCACCTGCTTTATAAGGCATATGTGTTATGTGAGATTCTGTCTTTGGAGAACATGCCCACAGATAACTTACAGAACAGGGAAACAAGCCTTAAGTTGTGTTTTGTATATATTTATGTGTTTATATATGTAAAGATCTTAATTGCCAAATGTTGATATCTGTGTGGAGCTGGTACAACGTTTGTGAGGGATCTCTGGGCAGTTAAAATCAATTCACTTCATCTAGTCTGTAAACAGATAATTTATGAAAATGACTACTTTCTAATGATGAAGGTTCTCCACACCTTCTGATAGAAGGCCATTGCTTGTTCGCAATGTGGATTCCATATGGGCTGAAGGGTTACAACCTTTCCTTCTAGCAAGGCGCAAAGAACTTAGATCAGTGGCACTCCTGTTTGAGATTCTGCAGGCAAAATATTAATGTACAAAACCTGCTTAGAGCAGAAAAAATACTTCCAGGACGTGCTGATGAGCAGTAGGTGCCCAGGGCTTTTATGTGTAGAAGTGCGGTGAAAACAGTTACAGTAGTCTCAGGTGTCTTTAGGAGAAAATACATGTGGGCTTTTCACTCAAGTTAATTTGTCCCAACTTTAGTTTGCTTAAAGGACTTTACATATTTATAATTTGAGTACTAATGTTAGGAACCAAGATTAACCCTCCTGCAGTACAATTCTTACTGAATTTCTCTCACTGAGCTCTGTTCCTCAAGGGTAAGGAATTCTTTTCAGAAGTAGTATCAGCAAATTTTGTTATGGTCTCATGTAAAACTTTTCAGGGTTAACATGTTTGTATGCCATCAAGAAGGCATTAGAAAAATAACTGTAGGCTGTAACTTGTAATGAAATATTCAGCAGAGTGAAGCAGTTAACCATGGCGCTGTAATTCTGTACAATTTGGGGCTGTGAGGGGATAAAGCTGTCAGTTTACCAAAATCAGATTTTCTAAACTTGGAAACCCTTATTCTAAATAAGGGACTGTCACCTATATCAGGCTATTGCTGACTTTTATAAGAAAATAAATTATATAAATTAGCATTGGTGTATCTGGAAGCAGGAAGGGATCAGTATTTTGGGAGGTATGTTTAACTTCCCTCTTTCTTTCTCCATGTATATTATTTTTTGAATGGAGTTTCAAAGTTTCATCACTTCTAGTTTGGGTGCTCAATGAGTAGTTATGGAGAATGTGCTGAATGGATCAGGAAGGCTGTAATGAGTTGAAAAGAACTCAGTTTGATCAATGGGTTTCATTGAGTTTAGCCTTTCTGGCCCTCTGTGGTATCCCAAAGCATTTGGCAGGTGGAAGAAGTTTAAGGTGGTTTTGGAAGGTCAGGGATGGCAGGTGTGATGTAGTGTTCCTTTGAAGTGTTTGCCTGTACCCTTAGTTGGATTTACATAACATCTCTCTAGAATTCTCTGTAAAATTATAGCTCTTTTACTGTCGAAGAACATAATTGATCCTGTTTATTCCAGGCTGCCTTCCAGATTTGAAAGCATACACAGAAACACAGCTGCCAACTCTACTTCAAAACTGTTTCTGTTTACATTTTTGCTTTCCAAATCCAAACCCTGGAGGCGTGCTTACATGTGCAAGTAAAATGGATGTGTACACAGAATTACGATGAGCCACTGTGTCTGTAGCCCAGCTGAAGGGAAAAGCTGCTGGTTTGGTGCAGTTCCTCAAAAAAGAGCATAAGCTTTGGGGTGTCCCTTTTGGACCATATGCAAGTCTTCAAAGAAATGGTATTTAACATTTGTTAAACAACAACTGTTGTGGATGCCCCATCCCTGGAAGTGTCCAGGGCCAGGCTGGATGAGGCTTGGAGCAACCTGGTCTAGTGGAAGGTGTCCCTGCCCATGGCAGGGGGGTTGGAACTGGATGGGATTTAAGGGCCCTTCCAACCCAAACCATTCTGTGATTTGAAATTTTTTAAAAGCCACAGTTGACACTTATTTTGAAACTATACTTGTTTAAAAGGATTTAATAAGTATGTGTGTCCCGCAGCCCTGCCCCTGGTTTTGTTAGCAATTGTTGGTGGGGGGTGAGGAAAAACTTGCAGTGGAATGAACCACACTGTTCCTGAAGCTGAACTGCTCAGCACTGCTTCAGTCAGGCTCACTCCCCAGCGTAGAGCCTGGTGTCCTTCCGACTCCGTGGTGATGTCAGTAAGGCAGCTAAACCAGCAGAAGCTGACCCAAGACTGGAGAAGTGAGTAGTTCTGCCACTTCAATCCATCAGACCCTGTTCAAGCTGGTTCAGGCAGCACGGGTGCCAGAACACGCCTTGGGCAGGGAGAAGATGGACTCCCACAACCATCAGTTCAGAGGAGCCACAACAGGACTGTGGGACTGAACTTAAAAGACTGCTGCTATGAACTCAGTCTGTGTTGTGAATACTCAGCCTGACTGTGGTCCATCTGTGTTATGTGTGGACAGAAAAGTTCTTATGGCTGCATGTTCTTGTTGTGGTTTTATTTTTATGCTGGTATATGCCTTAACAGTTACGTGTTTCTGCCTATGCTTGTAATTAAGAAATGTAAATAAGCATGTGATTCACTGGTATGGAGAGAGTCTTGTTCATGCTTTGCCTGATGGCAAAGACGCTGTTTAACCTTCTGTGTATTTCTTTTCATGGGTAAACTGAGGATGGTTATTGGTAATTTGGAATTCTCCAAGTTACTCTAAATGGTGTTATTTGGGTTCATTTGTAATGTTTTGTACTTGGTAAGCTTTCCAAGTCTTGCTGCTCAAATACACAGTTCTAGTGTGCTTAGAACTTTCCGTTTCAGCATCCGGTCACTGAGACCATGAGGAAAATCTTTTTAAAGTCAGTTGCAAAGCCCTTCTGAATATGCATGGCCGTTGGTGGGACAGCATTCTTATAAACCTGCAGTGGCACTTCAGTACTTCTGTTGATGTTTTTTTAGAAGCCCAAACTACAAAGGAAGGATTTAAAAAAAAGAAAAAAAAAAACCAAACCCAACCCTGTGGCTACTCAGAGTTGCTTAGGAAGCAGTGGATTTGGGAAAACATTTTCATTCTAATGCTCCTTTTTTTTTTAAGGACTGAAGTGTGACAAAGGCAGGTATTGGATGAACTTGGAAGAAAACTTCTCCAAATAAGTACCAGGGCATAGAAGTGCAGAAATGAGGATTATTATTTTTTTCACATGTGTGTAACTTGTATAAGTTTATAATTCTGTATACCCTAAATATAAGTATTTATACAATCTTTAGTTTTAAAATGTTTTAAAAATGTGCTGAGCAAAGCATTCTCTGCTTTTCCACAGTGGGAGCTTTCAGAAACCTGGAACAGAAGAGCTGTTGGTTTTGGTTTTTCCCTCCTTTCTGTTAAGAGAACAAACTAAGATAGAGGGACACTTCCGAGAGGGTTATTGACTTAAAAGTTAACTAAGAGTGGCTTTAGAATAGTCGCCTGGTAGTTACCCTAGCCCTGTGCTTTAAGGACACTTGGTTGATGGAGGAGGCGTGATGGACGATGGACTGCTCTTTAGATGTCTGTTGGTATTATCCTCATACCCTCTCATAATGTACATGCTGAAGTTAATGAAATTACGGGCTGAGTGTAAGTACTGTGCTATTTGAGACTGGCATAATGCGTGGTGGCCTTTGTGGTACCTTATTGCTTTGCAAGGAGGACGTAGGTCTGTGCTATGTAGGTCAGTGAAAATGTCTGGCTGCTTGGGGACAGTCAGAAAAGCAACTTGTTAGGAAAGCAATAGAGAATATTGTGCCGCTACCTAAGTTTGGACCTTGAATGTGGTGTGCTGATACGGTTTTTCCCTATCTACCTTCAGGACAAACTCAATGCTACTTCATAGATTTATTTCACAAATATAAGAATTCGGCCTCTGGTTAAGGAAATAAAAATAGGTAGCCGTTAGGAGAGTGAATTGATGGAATATCACTGCGTGCATGCCTAGTTCTGCTCTTTGGCATCCCTTCTTGACCGCTGGGCTGTAAGATCTCTGCTCTGTCAAGATACAGTTCTTCTTGTACCTGCTCTAAGCTGACATCATCTGTCTCATCAGTAAAAAGGGTTTGTTGCTGGTCTAAATAGCTTGTACTGATCTAAATCCCAAACAAAGGAAAAAAAAAAGCTAAGGCTGAGTTTTGTGTGTGGGTGGATTGCTAAAATCAAGTTTTAGATGTTTTAGTAAATACTTATAACTGTTATGTTGGTGGTGTTTGAATACTTAAGAGGTTTGGGATGAGAAAAAAATTTAACTAAGAGTCATAGAATGGTTTGGGTTGGAAAGGACCTTAAAGCTCATTGAGTTCCAACCCCCCTGCCGTGGGCAGGGACACCTTCCACTAGGTCAGTAGCGGCATTGGTTTGGCCAAACCAAGCGGAGCTGATGGTTTGCAGCTCATCCAAATGATAAATGTTTCTTTTTCCAAATTAAAAATGCGAAAAATTTGGTTTGAGATTTGCTGAAAAATTGCTGTAATCACTTAAATATTAGATATTTTCATTCCCCATGCTATTAAAATGTTCTAATCAGAAATTATAAGATCCAGGTAAAAAAGTGAATCCTTTTTTTAAGACCATGTGCATATTGGCATTTTTTTCCAAACTAATGTGAATCTGCTACTAACTGTTTTGAGTGAATATTTACATCAAGTACAAGTTCTTTAGACGTCAGTTTTATCAAGCATTTTTCTTTTTAATGAATGTAAAATATAACTATGGATATTTATCTCCAAATATAAGTGTACATTTTTATCTGAAAACCCTTGTGATGTTTGTATTTGAAGTGTAATATTAAAACTTCTGATTTTTACTTAGGTTTGCTCATACAAATCACTGCTTGAGAAACTTCCAGTACAAAGTTACCTAAAGACTTAAAAATGCCTCCACGACCGTCATCTGGTGAACTATGGGGCATCCACTTGATGCCACCAAGGATCCTTGTGGAGTGTCTTCTCCCAAATGGAATGATTGTGACTCTAGAATGCCTCCGTGAGGCCACCTTACTGACTATTAAACACGAACTCTTTAAAGAAGCGAGAAAATACCCGCTCTATCAGCTCCTTCAGGATGAATCTTCTTACATTTTTGTAAGTGTTACGCAAGAAGCAGAAAGAGAAGAATTTTTTGATGAAACACGGAGACTTTGTGACCTACGACTATTTCAGCCTTTTCTAAAAGTCATTGAACCAGTAGGTAACAGAGAAGAAAAGATTCTTAATAGAGAAATAGGTGAGATGAACTTTATTTAAACATAGCTAATCTGTTTATTAACTGGCTTCTCTTCAGAATAGAAAGCCCAGAATTGAAATGGGTTGTTTGTCAGCTGTGTCTGCCAAAGTTAGCACTGTGTAACTATCTGTTGTTGCACCAAATGTCAAAAGATGCTGATCGTAGTAAAGCTGACGTTCGTAAATGGTGAATTAAACCTTTTTGCTGTTCTGTTTTAGTCATGTGTAGCATTTGTAGTTGTAGGTGGGCTAGAGGATCTCCTTTTGCTTGTTTCTTACTAGCAGGATTTTGTATGATTACAGAGCAAAGCCTGTTCTATTGTTTGGAAAGTGCATATTAATTTGTTATGAAGTTGAGTTGTAAATTCTGGATGTAATGACAAATCTTAAACCACATTTGTGATAGCAAATGTTTTAATACTGCTCTATTTTGCTTCAAAAGTAAAATATCAGAAATCAGGTGGTCTTCCCACCCACCCCAACCCCCTCTTCCTACAAAAAGAGCATCGTGAGGTGAGGGAAGCAAACACCCAAGGTTGGAAGGGCAGAGGGGAAACAAATGGTAATGTTTTGAATAATCTCTGGAGTAGCTTAACTTTTCATTGTCCATAGAGAAGGGAGACTAGTGTATATTTCAGCATCTAGATTAAGTATCTAAACTTGGGGAGTATAAGCATAACTACTCCTGTTTAGTTGCCAACAGATGCACAGTGCAGTGGTAGAGACTTGTCAACTGGAAATACTTGTTCTGGGGTACTCCTAATTGTTAAATTATCTAACAGTTATGAATGCATTGTAGGTAAAATACCTCTGTTTTTGTGTGAAGCTTAACCTGTTCAAGACTCTTTCGTTAACTATACAACAGGACAATTGAATGTTTCCATTTGAACCTTCATGCATAAATAATTATTTATGCAAGTAATCTCAGTAAAGTAAATGGAATTACATTTCCTATTGCATGACTGTGCCAAAGAGCTAAGTGCAATAGCTCTTGGAGTGCTTGTCACATTTTAATATAGCAGAGTTCATTAAAAAAAAATTAATAGTTGTCTTTCGGTTGTAAGCAAAATTGATTATGGCTACCAGTAATCCTGCCCGGGTTTTAGGAAAAAATAGGACACTGCAGCTCCCCTGGTCCACTTAGGAAACTTTGTGCTGACTTCAAAGGAGGTTTATTACTGGTCCTTTTCATCTAGGAGGAGTGTTAGCTTGGAGAGTGGTGATTTAAAGCTTCCAGGCTCTTCAGTGAATGTACACCTGTCTGCTAGCCTTTATTGTGACTGCTGAGTGCACTTCACTTGAGAACTGAGTTGTTCTTGAATGAAATGACTGCTGGCTTCTACTTGTATACAGGACTGTTTTAACACAAATACACTTTAAATTGTGTCCTGCTCCAAAGCATGCTTTTTCTGTCACTGATAGAAGGAATCTTTAGCTTTAATTGTCAGCTACAGTTACTTCCTCATGCTTCTTCAATACTGCAGGTTTTGCTATTGGCATGCCTGTCTGTGAATTTGACATGGTTAAGGATCCAGAAGTACAAGACTTCAGAAGAAACATTCTTAACGTTTGTAAAGAAGCAGTGGATCTTCGAGATGCCAACGCACCACATAGTAGAGCGTTATATGTCTGTCCTCCAAATGTAGAGTCTTCACCTGAGCTACCCAAACACATATACAATAAACTAGATAAAGGTAAGATAAATATTTACTGTAGAAATAGAATGTTTTTAGTGATTGCAATCAAAGAGTACCAGTGGTGACTTAGGTACGTCACTCCTGTGTACTGTATTTAGTGCACTCTAGCAATATCTTACACCTTAAGTTACTCCAAATAATGTTATTCAGAGTGTAGATTCAAAAGGAAGACAACACTGAATTACATTTTACTTTTGCTATCGTAATAATTAAATCCTGAAAAATAACTCTGTAAACAGAGGTGTGTTTTTAATGACAAGAAACGGCTTGTCAGCTTTGCGTTTTCTTTTCTCTGACATTCAGAAATGTGGAATTAAGTGATGCTGAATCACTAGTTTATTATCTTGCAGTCCTCAAACATGAAAGTTACTGAAGGATAAATAGTAGTAGTTGGTTAATAAAAATATCCTTAACCTGAAGGGGTAGAAGTTTGAATTTTCACTGGAGTCAAAAATAAACTGATCACATGTAATTCCTTGCAGAAGTTAGAAACTCTGTGAACCTTGTCTACATCTTTCAGTAGTGCTGCAAGCAATTCTCTGTTTTAGTGGGGGGTGGGAAGGGGTAGAAGTTTGAATTTTCACTGGAGTCAAAAATAAACTGATCACATGTAATTCCTTGCAGAAGTTAGAAACTCTGTGAACCTTGTCTACATCTTCAGTAGTGCTGCAAGCAATTCTCTGTTTTAGTGGGGGGTGGGAGTTTTCTTTTGGGTGTTTTGGTGGTGTTTGTGTTTTTTTTTTAACTTACTGAAAATGGTTGGCCTAACACTGTTTTATGTTTATTGCAGGGCAAATTATAGTGGTGATATGGGTAATAGTCTCACCAAACAATGACAAGCAGAAATACACCTTAAAAATCAATCATGACTGTGTGCCTGAGCAAGTTATTGCTGAAGCAATTAGGAAGAAAACACGAAGTATGTTGCTGTCGTCTGAACAACTGAAACTTTGCGTCTTGGAGTACCAGGGCAAATATATTTTAAAAGTGTGTGGCTGCGATGAGTACTTGCTGGAAAAATATCCACTGAGCCAGTATAAGGTGAGTAGCACAACGGTTTTATTTTGAAATACACAAAAATAACCCAAGTTTGTGAGGGAGAGAAGTGATCAATTTTGACTGACTTGTTTTTTTATTAAATGAATCCAAAATATAGGAAGTAGTAGTGTATGTGTCTTTAAACCAGTTGACTAATGTGTTTGTGTAGCATACATATTTGTTGCTGTATGTGTTTTAAAAGAGAGGGGGAGAGGAAAGGTTAGTTTGAACTAGAATTTATATCACTAATGTTGGCAGTAAACCACTTCAGAGAAAAGTTACATTATTAATGAGTCGGTGGTAGGTGCTTGCAGAAATAACCTAGATTTCTGGTGTCAAGAGGTGCTTGTGGACTCCAGCACTACGTAAATCCCTGTGAAACCCTCCTTGTGGCTGGCTGTCCTTCCCTGCCTGGGTTTTGTTAGTGCTGCGGGTGTGAGACAGAACTGCTGACAGCAGGGCATCTGAGCAGACAACAATGTTACCCTGTAGATTTCCTGACAGACTGCTGCCGCTTCCTCTTTGAGGAATGTATTGTTGTCATGTACAGCTCCCATTCCTTCGTCTAAAATGGTTGACTGTCTGCTTTCTACTGCAGCGGGGAGGGAGGGGGCTAGGGGATTGTGAATAATGGGAAAAGCAGTCCTGCTCTGTAGGAGCTGGGGAACAAGTGCAGGCATACACAGTTTTACAGTCATCTTTAGATCAAACACTAGACCTGTTTGATCTAGCGTGGCTTCTTCAGAAGTATCTGCCATGCCTTTACTGTGCTCACTAATTACACTCCTGGACTGGACCTGTTTTAACACAGTGTGCTGGGGTACTGTTGCCGGAATGAATGCCCTCAGCACTCGGTCCTGAATGGACACCATCCAGGCTTACAGCTAGAGCCTGTCAGGATCAGCACTAAGCGTAAGGTAAAACACAACTGAACCAAAAATGGGTGTCTGCCGTTTGTTGTGTGCTCTCTGCCCATGACTGGGAGTGTCAGTGTCACCCGTGCTAGGTCTGCACACCAGACTGGTACAGCAGCATGCTGCACAAAAGCAGCTCTGCCGCTTCCAGGAACAGCTCTAATCTGGAAGCAGCCTTTGTTCATGCTGCACGGTGCTAGGGCTGAGGAGCGCTACAGGAAACGTGACATGTCATGTCCTCAGCTGAGGGCTCTGTCTCCAACCTTCCACTGCTGTAGATGTTACCCATCTCTCGAGCTGTATGAAGCACTGTGTGATCCTACACAAGAACATACTTGAACTGTTGGATGCTACAACTATTAGCACTGTAAAGGATGTACATACAGGGACAATAAGCTCCTTAAATATGCTTTTATATTTTCCTGAGTATTTTTAGGTATAAGCTACTAAGTGTACACTTTGAAAACATAGTAAGCTTTTGTGTTGTCTTGTTGCAGTACATAAGAAGCTGTATAATGCTGGGTCGCATGCCCAATCTGATGCTGATGGCAAAGGAAAGCCTATATACCCAGCTACCACTGGACACCTTTACAATGCCATCTTACTCCAGGCGTATCTCTACAGCTACACCCTACATGAATGGAGAAGCTACAGCCAAATCCCTCTGGACTATAAATAGTGCCCTCAGAATAAGAATCCTCTGTGCAACCTATGTAAATGTGAACATTAGAGACATAGACAAGGTAAGGCACGTGCTGTGTGGCATCGTACATGGTTTTCAGCACCTCATGATTTCCCTCGTGAGTTTTCTGTTCTGTGTTTACGTTGGAAAAGAGGTGTTATTTAACATGTGAGAAAATCAGACCGCCTTGTTACTTAAATTTAAGCACTCAATTCTAAAAAATACAGCCATATTTTTAGCATCTGAAAACTTGTGTTCTACTTAAAAGGCATGACTTGTGGTATTGTGCTAAATATTCTGCCTGATAGGAGCAGAACTCCGTTTGCGTAGTTCATTTCAGCTGAGTATGTAATGGATGGAAGAACACAAGCCATGTTGTTCATATTCTGAATAATTAGTATGTCTAAGAACGTATTACAGTACTTGGGAATACTTTTGATTAAGGGTTGCTGGATAGTGTACTACTATCTCTGCTTTCAAAAAGGGAGGTATGAGAAGATCAAGGGGAAAGGCAGGTAGTGTTCAGTTCCACTCAGGTCATAAAACAAGTCTAGATCTCTAACTCTCTTGGAATTTGTCTGGTCTTTTCTTTCACTGTAGCTTAGCACAGGAAGAATTGAAAATAAATCCCAGGGTGGGTTTTTTTTAGTTTATTTCAATTTTATTATATTTCTAAGAAGTAGTTTTGCAATTAATGAGGAAGACCAAAACACTTGTCCAGAGCTGTATGCTTGTAGACTGCGCATCACACCTTGCAGAGCACGAATGAATTTGGTTTGAGGGCTGGTGGGGCTGTTGCATTTTCAGTTCTGGTTTTAGTTTTTTTACTTGATAGAATTAAGGGGTAATATGTTGCAATTGTAATATATGTTGATAAGAGTAAGAAGAAAACGTTGGTAGTAGTAACATTTCAAAACAGTATTAATATTAACATTATTTTCAGATCTATGTTAGAACAGGTATCTACCATGGAGGGGAACCTTTGTGTGACAATGTGAATACTCAGAGGGTACCTTGTTCTAATCCCAGGTAAGTTAAGACCTTGAATGACTAGAGAGAACCTGACTTCAGGGCATCATAAACAGTAGCACTGGAGGAGTAAAGACTCGACCTAGCCTTATTCCGGTAGAGCTCTGTGCTGAGAACACCTTGCTTTAAGTTTTGGAAGAACTTTTTTATCTAACCCGGTATTTATAAATAGAATTAAATCAGGCAAGTATTTTGTCTCATTGACTGTAATGGTATGGTTTCCTTACTGAACAGATCTCTGCAGTTGCCTCCAATGCCAACATAATTACTCATTAGTACTGTAAAATCAGCGTAGCTCCGGGCATCTGAGCTCTGGTTTTGGCTGCAGGTCAATAGCAGGTATTCCAGTTGCAGCATGAAGCAGTGTGATGTAATGTAACCTGCAAATTTGTTTTGGTGATGTTGCACAGTGCGTACTGAGCCAGAACCACAGAGTGTGGAGAGATGAGTATCTCGTGTGAACATGGAAGTCACTGCCGGCTCTGGGCTGATTATTTTCAGGAGATTTGACCTACCTTTTTGAATGTTATATTGAAAAATAAATCACATGAACTTAAAAGTGCCATTAGTGTACAAGAAGCAGCTTTATACGAGCACATATAAACATACTGAGAAAAAATACATCAAAGATGTTGAATTTCTGTCTCTGACTAATCAGGAGGTGTGAAATTTCAGCATCTGCTAGGATAAGATGCAAAGTATGTTTTCAGAAGTAATCTGCCACTTGCATTTTCTATCTGACTATGTGTTTGAAACTTTCAAAGTGTTTTAATACTTTTTTCTGTACGTTTTCTATTAATATGATTAGGAGTTAGAATTAGAGGGTCTAATAATATACACGGTTATTGAAAAATAGCCTTTCCCTGTGGGTTTTCCCAGAGATAGCTGTGCTTGAACTGATAGTTTAACTGGTTTAGAGATAAAAACTTACTGGAAAGGTAGTGAAGGGGGTGTGGCTTGAAAACATGGATTTAACCAGGGGGATTTGCATTATATGAAACCAACACAAGAAAAGTGAATTCAGTTTTTATCTGACAACTTCTTCTTAGAGGAAGGCTTGGGCAGTTTTGAAAAATTAATGCTGTCCTTGGAAGCTGCTGTCTCTTCCAGCTAAGACAGTTCAGCATGGCATTCCATTTAAGAAAATAAACTGTATTCATGAGTTCCTTTTCAAAAGCACAGTTCTGCCAGTTGAGAGAGGAAGTCTACTTAGAGAAGCTCAAGAAAACAAAATGTGTATTGCTATGGAACCAACCTGTCTTTTTGTCATGGAAAATTTAGTAATATCTGAGCTAAGAACACTGTTTTGGGTTTTTGTTATTTCTATCTTGTATTCCCATCTTGCAGTTATCTCGTTATTTTCTAGCAGTTCAAACTGGTTGAGATCTGAAAGATATGCCACGTTTTTTTCCACTTCCTTGATGGTTGCAGTCAGTAGATTTGCAAGAGTGAAAGGGAATGAACCTAGTAAGTGTGTAGGAATTTAACCTAGTTGTGACTCTTCAGACAGTGTTGGTGCTAGAAGGCTGCTCAGTGAAGTTTCTGTTCCCAGGAGTAGATGTGGTCAAATGCAGGTAGGAGGGCCTGCCTTCAGTAAGAAAGTGTACTCCTTATGCACATACTTTAGTTTAGGTAGGAATATAACAAATGCTTTTGGGTATAACTGTTGACTGAATGCAGTTGTCTCCATGCTCTCCTTTGACCTAGTTGTATTCTGCTTTTTAAATCTTACAGGTGGAATGAATGGCTTTTGTATGACATGTACATTCTGGATCTTCCGCGTGCTGCTCGGCTCTGCCTTTCTATCTGTTCTGTTAAAGGCAGGAAGGGTGCTAAAGAGGTAAAATACTCCATGGCTTTAATACACTAAGGAGCAAAAGCTGCTTAGGTCAATATTGACTGGATGGAGTGAGTCCAGAGGAGGCCACAAAGATTCTTCAAGGGCTGGAGCCCCTCTGCTATGGGGACAGGCTGAGAGAGTTGGGCTTGTTCAGCCTGGAGAAGAGAAGGCTCCAGGGAGACCTTAGCACCTTCTAGTGCCTTAGAGGAGGGCGGGGGAGGTGTTGCTCAGTCTCACTTAACCCAACCTTGAACACTTCCAGTGATGGGGCATCCACAGCTTCTCTGGACAGCTTGTTGCAGTGTCTCGCCACACTCATCATAAAATAAAAGAAATTTGCCTGTCCACTCTAAGCCTATTCTCGTTCAGTTTACAATTGTAGCCCTCTTTTCCTCTCACTACAGGCTTGGCTAAAAAGTCTGTTTGACAAAAACCTCTCCATCTTAAGTCATTTTGGTGTGAAGAAAATGTTAGTATGTGTTTGCAAGTGTTTTGATGTCATTCTGCAAAATAACTGCCGTGACAGTTGTGCATGGAAAGATATGGTACAGCTTCCACGGCCTGTTTTCAGCCAATCTGGGAATGGAGCAGCTTTCTCTGGGGTGAAAATGGGTTTGTGTTGTGGGTCTTTCTCATGACTTGCTTTGTACTAATTAATAGATAACACTGAAAAAACTTATTTTAATATCTTTTAAGGAGCACTGTCCGTTGGCTTGGGGAAATATAAACATGTTTGACTACACAGACACTCTTGTATCTGGGAAAATGGCTTTGAATCTTTGGGCAGTACCTCATGGTCTGGAGGATTTGTTGAACCCTATTGGTGTAACTGGATCAAATCCAAATAAGGTAAGTAATGGCATGCCTGTTTCCTCCTTAGGAGTACATTTTTTAAATGTGCTGTATTATAATTAGTATCATTCAACAGAAAGTAATTTAAATTCCCTTTATATAGGAAACTCCATGTTTAGAGCTGGAATTCGATTGGTTCAGCAATCCTGTAAAGTTCCCAGATATGACGGTGATCGAAGAACATGCCAATTGGACTATATCACGTGAACTGGGGTTCAACTACAGCTACGCGGGGCTGGTAAGGCAAACTCCCCTTCCAAGAGTAGCTACTAAGATACAAGTGTGTTATGTATTTTACTCAGTGATATAGAAGAAGCAAGAAATCAGTTTTTTGGGTTTTTTTAGCAAAACAAGTAATATTCTCATTTCTTTATATACCAGTAAACTGACCTAATGCTTCACTGACCAACCAAAACACTTAAGCTGTTCTACTGTGTGAACTGTTGGGGCCTCTGTGACATTTTTATATTGCTAATTCAGATGTCTAAATGACTTTAACTTTGGAAAAGTTGTAATTCTTATTAGATGATGCTCTTCTATTTTGTTGCAATTTCATGCTTACAGGTAGGCTTTCTTTTGTAACCTAAAGATGCTTGTAAGTTACACTGGGTGTTTAGTGGGCTAGTTATGACCATGAGTACAGGGAATTCTAAGGGAATTGATTGGCAGATTGGCAGATGTCTAAGTGCAGTCCTTTATCTCCTCTCTTCCATGATGAAAATCTGTGTGTTGACAATTGGCTTTTTGGTGAGGTTTGAAGCTTTCTTAAAAGCATGTTTTGGATGATAAAAAGAAGGAAAAAAAGCAGTCAAGCTAAAAATGCTATGTGCTTTAAAGACAAGGCCGTTATATGTGTTACGTCCTCCTCTGGAGGCTGGTTCAAAGACTTGAGAGTTTCCCCAAGAGACCTTTATGTGGTCTGCGTGTGAAGGGTCTTGGGCTGGAAAAGTTTCGCTGTGCCAAAAGGTGCGTAGGTATCAGTAAGCTTCCAGTTTGGGAATTCTGGTGATATTTGTAACAGTCCCATCTCAACACATCCCGAACAAAGGGTTATAGGTATTTGATTTCTCCTGATACTCTACAGAAAGCACATCATAGTGGTGTATCTGCTTATGATATGTACTTTGTAAACAACATTCCTGTACTAGAACACAGGCCTGGGCTCATATATGCCCAACTCATTGTCTTGCTCCATCTGTAGGCAAAACCAGAAAATGGTGAGGAGAATAAGATCTTACTTAAGTGACAAAATAATGACCAACTTACACTTCACAGTTGAAACAAACATTCTGATGTAGAATAAAGTCCCAGAGCTCTTTTTTTATGATAATCCTTACAGTACCCTAGAAGATGGTCACAGTAGCTAAATAGGGAGAAAGCCTATTTACAGCAGTGATTTAGTTGACAGGGAAACAGACTGTGTGTATCACTGCTTTGGTCGCTTTCTCATTATTCATGCTGCTTTTCTCTCAACCCTTGTTGTCTGCCAACATCCTTTTATTACTTATCCTTTCTTAAATCATATTTCATTAAATGCTTGGTAAGTTTGAACATCGCTATTTTCTTAGTATTGTATTTTTCCCCTTTTAATGAGTGGTATCTGCAGGTCTGAAGCCAAACCCTGTATATTCAAATACTGTGCATATTAATAGCTGTTTGTAATATTAACTGTGTTTAGGGAGTTAAAAGGCAATGTGGTGTTACTCATTCAAAAATCAGATACTAGGTTACTGTGTAGCATTGGCCATATCTGAAAGAGGTAAAAAAATGCTTGTCTGAAATGGTCATAATCAGCAAAGCAGTCACTGAGGTATGATTTCTGTATAGATGGTTTTGTTCTGATACAAAGACCATAACTTTTTTGTTTGAAATTGAAAGGCATTACACTGCATTTAAAATCAGATATTACTTACTTATAAGAGATCATTTGTAGGTCCGTTAATATCTCTAATATGAAAGAATTTTCAAATATTAAGTCTAATTTACTGTCCCACAATTCATAGAATGTCAAGTTTTTGGTGTTGACCGCAACAGGATAAATGCATTTTCCTTCTGGGCTTGAGCTAAACTATGATCTTTCTGACCCACTATGCAGGTACATTTTATACTTTTTTGACTTTCATTTACTCTTTAGGATGACTCTTTGAAAATCAAGAAAGTACAATTAATCACTTGTTCAGTATCAATTATTTGATCTTATGTCAGGAGTAGGGTGATTGTAAAGTCACTTATCCATTAACTTCCGTACAGAGTAACTTTGGCTTTGCTACTTGCTTTGTATACATTTCCATAATATTTAAGAATGTGTTCTAGAAACTTTTCTCTGCCCCATGGAGAGTAGTCCTGAACAACTTCCCCCTGCTTTTATGTGCAGTCCGTGTGCTTTGGATTGGTAATAAAAAGACATCTTGGTGCACCAAGATCTTGAACTATCAAACTGCTAACAGGCCAAGGTACTAAAAATCCTCTGAGTTGGTTGAGTCATACCTTAGGAGTGGTAGATGTAAGCCTGAAGGCCCAAATATTCTTGTCCCATGTAACATGGTGAACATACAATTTGTGTGATTAAAGATCAAAGTGAAGTAGAGAAGGTTCAGTCTGAAGTGGATACTGTGTGGTGACACAAAACAGTTGTCAGGTTGTCATGATAGCTATAGTTGTCCGTGTGTAGAAATAATGTCACTTTGCCTTGATCTCCTACCTCTCAAACTTCAGATTGTTCTTGTTTCAGCTTTCCTTTAAAAGCGAGATGTATTAGACTCTGTAAAAGACACGTAGGCGTTCCTGTTTCAAAGTGCTCGTTCAGCCAGCTGAAAATGTCCATCAGATTAGACTCTGTAAAAGACACGTAGGTGTTCCTGTTTCAAAGTGCTTGTTCAGCCAGCTGAAAATGTCCAACAACAGTAGCAGACAAAGCTCAGTTTGTTCTTGCTTATCATTCTGTTTAACGTGCTCCGTAGACACTGCCGAGCGAAGGAGCAGAAGGGGCTGAATACCCTGGTTTTACAGTTTAAACATTTTGAACTTGGGAAAGAGATGATCTTACTTTGTAGCAGTAGGTGTCATACAGGTGTGAAAATGTGAGTTTACTATAAAACCACTCTTTAACTGTAGAGTTTTTGGGATAGCTTCATCTTCACTGTCAAACTGGTTTACTACAGTTGTACTTTATAATAAAGGCAATCAGATAAGCTGCTTGAGATTTCTCTTTTGTACAGCACAATTGATCCTGTAGATGAAACCTCAAATTGCGTAACTTTATATGCTGCTTTGCGAGAAAAACATTAAATGAACTAAGATATGGAAAGTAGAAAAGAAAAATGCAACTGGGCATGAGCTGTGAAGAACCAAGTAGTGGTAGTTCCAATAGCTCTGCCATTGGTCTAAGGTGGTTCCAATAAACGATGTCTTTAGATGTGTGTACCAGTTTGGTTTTCTCTGCTCCTTGGGGAATATATTGCACTAATTCTGGTTAATGTTTTCCAGCCTTCCTGTTACTTAGGCTTTCCTACCATATCCTACCTTTTCTGTACCTAGCTTCACCCTCCATATTCTTTTTCAGTTCCGAATCTTTTTCACTCCTTCCAGCAGCTCTCAGCAATCTCCAAAAGTGGAGACAAATGACCAGTTTCTTTTTGTGCTGTGTTGTGTTGTTCATCAGGTGTCAACTGCTGCTATTTCTCCATGCAGCTGACTTAGTTGAAATATACCTCTTCTTGTCCCAGTAGTAACTAAAGCAGTTGCAGAAATCAAAGGCCTAGTCTTTCACCTCTCTCTATTTTTAAAATGTTAGTCCTCAGTTATAACAAAAGGAAAAAAGGAGATAATGTTGCAGTGACATAGACTAGTTGCAACGCTGTTAAAATACTTCGTGTATGTTATGTGGCAGCAGAAGGGAATGCTTGGAGGGTTAATGGACCACTTTCTCTCTGCAGAGTAACAGGATAGCTAGAGATAAGGAATTAAGAGAAAGTGACAAGGAGCAACTGCGAGCCATATGCACACGAGATCCTTTGTCTGAAATCACTGAGCAAGAGAAGGACTTCCTCTGGAGCCACAGGTATTCAAAAACAAAACCCAAAGCGAAGGAAAACCTTTTTCACAGTCCAACTTCACCCAAATTGGTCCTGATTGTCATGGGCTTTGCTCCTTCTTCATTCTATATCAGTGGGGTTAGTGTTTCAGGGAAGGCTTTCACAGCATTCTGCATTGTAGGTGTTGGTGCATAAGCCCCTCAAAAGTTGTCGTACCAGTTTATTTTCCCCATTACTGCAGTCTTACCTTCATGCGTGGATCCCTACACCACCTTACTGTAGCAGGGTTCTAGTGACAAAGAAAGGCGCAAGACTTGCGTAGGTGGTTATTGACACAAAGTGTCATTTTTGCATGTACAACTCTCTCCTCTTTTGCAGGCACTATTGCGTGAATACTCCAGAAATTCTGCCCAAGTTACTTTTGTCTGTTAAATGGAATTCTAGAGATGAAGTGGCCCAGGTAACATAAAGCACTGAGTTTTAAGTTTTGATGAAGCTTAAAAGTATGCTATTTTAAAGAGAACTTTTGGAAATTGAAAACACGTGTGCATGAGATACTGATAACTTAACGTGACTCCAGTTGCCACTGATTGATCAGTCTGGTCCATGGTTCTTTAGCTCAGTCTGAGTCTTCCCTTGGTGGCATTACTTGAATCCTTGTTATGTTACTGATTTATCAATTGCAGTTAAATGTGAGGTTTTATTTCATCTATTAGAAAAAGGACAAAAACCAAGTCAGCAGGCAACTAGTAGTAAATTGCTTATTGAGAGAGGACTGGCGAGTAAACAGCTCCTACTCAGATGCAGTTTGTGTCTGACAGTACCTTCTAATGGCTGTGTATTGCAAATTCTTCCTAATCAATGTAAATGTGTAATGTGCTCGGGCTTCTTGTTCGCAGATGTACTGTTTAGTAAAAGACTGGCCTCCAATCAAGCCAGAGCAAGCAATGGAGCTCTTGGACTGCAATTATCCAGATCCAATGGTGCGAGCTTTTGCAGTTCGGTGTCTGGAGAAGTACTTGACAGATGACAAACTGTCTCAGTACTTAATCCAGCTAGTGCAGGTATGTAACATGTTCTGGTGTGTTTTGTCTTCTGTATATTCAGTGATCAGAGGCCTAAAACAACAAAATTTATGATGATGTGAGAGAGTTCAAAGAAAGTATCTGCTTTGTGGATTCTTGAGGAGGAGGAGATGTAGTGCTGTGGTTTTGCTTGTTGATATTAAATGCTGAAGTTTCGCAGAGTTGCAGAACTGTTCTACCAACTGGAACAGGCAGCTATTTCAGCTGTCCTGACATATGGGAAAGTATGAGCAAAAGTATCTTAAAATTTTCAGCAAGTTGAGGATAAAATATTTGGTAACAGTGAAGGAAGCATCAGATGGCAAGTTCCTGAAATAGAGGCATCCAATGCACTGTTAGCAGATACTGTTCAAACCCTAATACATGCAGGTGTTAATACCAAGATCAGTCGTGCTACAAAAGTTAATGTAAAACATAGATTGCTTTTTAATTAACTGCCTTTAATCTGTATATTGTTCATACAAATAACTGCAGCTGATAGTTTTTTTACTTTTTTGTCCTTAACTAGGTTCTGAAATATGAACAGTATTTAGATAATCAGCTTGTGAGATTTTTACTCAAGAAGGCACTAACCAATCAAAGGATAGGACACTTCTTCTTTTGGCATTTAAAGTAAGCTTAATACTGTATTAAGGGGTGGGTGGGATTGCTATTAGCTGTAAACAATCAGTTGTTCTAAAGGCTCGGCTTAATAAATGTCCTTTATTAGGAAAATATTCTCAAGTCTGTTTTAGATTGGTTAAGAGTTTGACCGTGTAGTTCGGTAATGGAAGTCATCCTTTGCAGTTTCAAAAGCTAGTTAATAGATATTTAGTCATGTAGTCTCTAATGATGATTTTTCTAAAAACAAGTTAGCCTAAGATTGCTGGAAACCTCCCACAGTGTTTGCTCTTTACAGCTGTGTCAGTTTTCTGCTGTTTGAACCTTGTTTTGTGTACCAGGTCCCCCACCAGTTTCTTCCACAAATTTTGACAAACTGTTGAGGTGTCAAGAGAGCCACCCAGTGTGGCCAGATAAAGTTTTGAAAAACAACTGTTCGTATGTGATTATTAAAGACACTATAGAGCTTGATAACCAAAATATCTGTGTTCTCCCATACTAAGTATAACGTGAGCTTCTGTAGCTCTGTGAGTAGGCTGAGCACACTGTTCTAAGATGGTGTGATCAGACACAGAAATAGCATCAAGGAATCCCTGTTGTGCTTCCAGTTTTCTGCTTCCCTTGGTAATTGTCAAGGATAAGTTACCTCATTAACTTGTTTGAGGGGATGTATTTTAGGACTGTGCAAAGACTGAGTAGATAAGAACAAGGAGACGGGGTGGGGGGCGGCAGCGGGTCACAGCCTGGGATGGCTAAGTGAGACAAGGAGAAAATTAAACAGGTTGGTTTTGTTCTCAGCAGAGATCTGGAACGTTTGAAAGCTTGCAGTTTACTGCAGAGTTTCTGGGAAGCACAGCCTTTGAATAAAGACAAGGGGTAGAAAAGCATAGGATTGGGGGAAAAAGCCTGTAAACGCTGTGCTGCCTTAGTTGTAAAGGGTACTGGAGGCCATCAGTCCAGTCAAAATGAGATGAGTTTTGGGAGGTCAATACAAGTTATTCACCTGAATAAAGCATCCATTAGCAGCCCTCAGGAAGAGGTTACAGGTATAGCTTCATTTTTGGCACCTCTAAGTGGTCTTGTCTTTAAGCTGTAACTGCTGTTCCTTTCTCTGTAGGTCTGAAATGCACAATAAAACCGTAAGTCAGAGGTTTGGTTTGCTTCTGGAATCCTATTGTCGAGCCTGTGGAATGTACCTAAAGCACCTGAGCAGGCAGGTGGAGGCTATGGAGAAGTTGATTAACCTCACAGATATTCTCAAGCAGGAAAAAAAAGATGAGACCCAGAAGGTACTATAAGTTGTCCGCATATTAATGTTGAATCACAGGAAATACTTTGAACTGTGCTAAACTTTATTAACTAGAAAATGCCTAATGCTAACCTCAGATCATAGTTACCCTCAAAGCTGTAATGTTTTCTCCGTGCATTGCCACTGTCTGCCTCTTAAGGCGGTAGAACTCAAGGTTAGGGTTCAGTTTGTGTAGTACGTGGCTAAGTGGAGTTGCTTATGTTGGAACTGTACAAAACCGTGCTTTAGAACCAAAGCTGAAATCTGGTACTTACCCGCATTTGCGTGTAATTAGTGTTCTCAAAACCTGAATGTGATTGTTTGTAGGTACAGATGAAGTTTCTTGTTGAACAAATGAGACGGCCAGATTTTATGGATGCCTTACAAGGTTTTATTTCTCCGCTTAACCCTGCACATCAACTGGGAAATCTGCGGTATTGTCTTCAGTTTTGGAGTTTGTGTAGATAATTAATGAAATGCTTAGTAATGTTATCCTTCATAATTTTAGGGTTAAATGTAAGCATCTTCAGAGCAAACTGAGTAAGATTTGTAGCAGAGTAATTCAGAGAGTGAAGTAGTTTCAACCTAATGGTTTAACAAAGTAGGGAACAATGTGACAGCTGTTCTTCTAAGGTGACAGGAACTGCAGTCCTGATTCCACTTTTAAGGAACACACGCTGCCAAAGGAATATTTACAGTAGAGACAGCTTTTTTGTAGGGCTTAGCAAATGGATAACTAACTGTGCTTATTAATTTAAGTTTAAAGCTGAAAGTGAAAGTGGTTGATTGTTAGTTACCTGTGCATCTTTAGTTTGATACTAGTTCAGAATTTAAAGAAAAAAGGGAGAACTTAGTAGTATTACAGAAACATCATATGAGAATCCATTTATGCCTATTTCATCTAAACCCTTCTCTTTTATAGGCTTGAGGAGTGCAGGATAATGTCATCTGCAAAAAGGCCCCTGTGGTTGAACTGGGAAAACCCAGATATTATGTCTGAATTGTTATTTCAGAACAATGAGATAATCTTTAAAAACGGAGATGGTAAGGGAAAAAAGTGCATTCCAAAAGCTACATATTTCTTTACTTTCCTAACCTACTGTCTAGTGCTTCTTCTATGTATATTGGAAAAAAAAAACCCTAAAAGCAGTTTTCTCCAGAAAAATTATGTCTGTCATGTCATATTTTCTAAGGTGCTCAGTTGTCTGCTCTTCGGTACTTTGTTTTTTCTACTTGAAAATGTCTTCAAGATACTAGATGTGTAATTCCATTGTTATGTTTTTAGTGTATATTTTGAAACAGCTTTGAAATCACCACCATGAATTCATATTCTCAATTACTTCAAGTCTGTTTTTCTCCACTGAGAGAACAAAACCTACAGTGAACTACACAAGCCTCATTTTCCTTCAGACATTCTTTTAAGGGGGAAAAGTAAGGTGTAGCAAAGTGTTCTGGTGTTACGAGTTGTAATCCCTGTGTATTTGACTATTCCAGACTTGCGTCAGGACATGCTGACACTTCAGATAATTAGAATCATGGAAAACATCTGGCAAAATCAGGGCCTGGATCTTCGGTAAGTGTTAGAGGTCATTCTCAAGCCATGCTGTTTGTTCTCAGTGGGTTTTGTGTAGGTTTGCTGTCAGACTGCTGCTCTTCAAGGGTAATAACTGAAATGCTATGAATAGGCATGTTTGAACATGACAGAGCAGTTCTCATTTTATTTTCACTTTCAGTTAGCTAAATTACTGGGTTCTGTAACAAAAAGATTGTATTAGAAAACTACTGAAGCCTCATTCAGTGGGGTGTGAGGGATCTACATACCAGGAATGGCTACCAAAGCCAACACACACTAGCCACACTACTGTCTACTGATGGTACCTGTAGGATTTGCTTTGAACAAGTTGCCAAACTTGCAGCCCTGTTAAGTGACTCTTTGGAGTTGGTCAGTGACAGGTCTCACTGTTTTTATTTGACCTCCAAATCGGTCTTTTTATCTAAAAATGTGGGTGTAGATAGCTATAAATAAACTTTCAGTACCTGTAAATAAGGTGCTGTTAATCCAGGGTGGAGGAGCCCACCTCCATGACAACACCAGCACTTGGCTCTGCCACTACTACGCGTTGTACTGGTGTTTCACGGACTTTTAGTTCTACTACAGAGCCATGACAGACTGTGTTTCTGGTTTTTTTTTTTTTTTACCATGGCATCACAAAACTGATACTCCAGTATTCCTAGAAGGCTGTTTCACTCCATAGGTATGACTCCAAAAAGAAACTAGGAGTGAAAAGGGACTGCTTTTAGGTACATGGTCCCCTCTCCCAAATCTTTTAACAGAGGATGTTAAACATGGTAATGGCCATGTTTCTTTCAGTCTTTGAATAAAAGACTGGTTTAGACTTAGTTTTCTCAGATTAAATGTTTGAATGTAACAGGAAAAAATATGGAATTGCGGGAAGGACTTGGGAATGAGAAGGAAGGTGAAGTAATTCTTCTACTTAAGTTATCCTTACTGAAGTTTACTGAAGCTATACCTTGATTTTTCACTTACCAATTACAAAAGTGATTTATGGTGCTCTTTAAAGAGTCTGGATAAACATCTGGTTACAGTTAGTCCATTAACATCTGGATAAATTGAAACATTGCTGACTGTAGATTCCAGGTATGACTTTGTAATATGTTAAAGTACTGTTCAGAAACTCGTTTTGAAGGTGCCATGCTGGTTTTACATAGAAGTAACACCTGCTGCTTGTGTACTGTAACCTATGAAATCCCAACATTAATATTCTGAGTACTTAGATTCTGTCTCTAGTACTTCACTATGAGGATAGTTGAATACATCTCGTTAAATCATGCTGAAATGCCTTTTAAAGGGATTTTTTCCAGTGGATTCCACAAGGTCTCAAAGAACACTTTATTAAAGTTTAGCTTTAACCTTCTGTCCTGATATGGAACTGAAGAACGACATGGGTGGATACAGTGTCGGATGTGTTAGGGTGCCAATATCTGGTATGTTTTTTTTCTCCCAAGATTAATGGCGATACACCTGTAACATAAAACCAGATTTCATGGCCTAAAGTAACAGATGACACTTACCTGATAAGGGCTATCAAACATGCGTGTTGCGTGCTGTCATAAGACTTAACTGTTTAAAACCACCACCCAACCCTTCCATCTTTCAGGATGTTGCCTTATGGCTGTTTGTCTATTGGTGACTGCGTGGGACTCATCGAAGTGGTGAGGAGCTCTCATACCATCATGCAGATTCAGTGTAAAGGAGGCTTGAAAGGAGCGCTGCAGTTCAACAGCCACACGCTGCATCAGTGGCTCAAGGACAAGAACAAAGGAGAAATGTGAGGTTTCCTGCTTGTTTTTCTTGTTCATGTGCTTTTTTTGATGGAAACTTCAAGAGAAGTAAAGTTCATCAAGTGGGACATTGTGTCCATCTGTTTCTGGGGGTTTTCTCACCCTGCCCTTGTTTGTTTGTTGTTCCTGATTGTAGCTCTTAATGAGTTTAGGTGGTTATATGACTTCTCAAAAGTGAGGCATAAGTTGGAGATAGGACTGTGGAGACAAGGCTTCAGTCTTTAGATCCTCAGAATGAAAACTGGCCTTCAAAAGAGGGATGGTCACTTTAATAGCTAGTCTGCTGTGTTATGACCTAATTGTAAGTACTTCTGTTTTCAGAGTATGCTGAGTTTCTTCCTTGGATAAAGCAATAATGTCCAGGAACTCTGCTTCATTGAGGGAAGATAGAAGTTGGTTCTTCCTTGATGGGGAGGAAAAAAATTCTGCCCTTTTGTATTAGCATATCTGTAGAAAAACATCTCCTTTGTTTGTTTTCAACAGGTATGATGCAGCTATTGACTTGTTTACACGTTCCTGTGCTGGCTACTGCGTTGCTACCTTTATACTAGGCATTGGTGATCGCCACAATAGTAACATCATGGTGAAAGATGATGGACAAGTAAGATACATTTTTCTAAAAATACAGCCTCATGTCATCACTTTCTTTGAGTGTTTAAAAAACAACAAACAAAAAACCCACAACAAACATCTAAACTACAAGTAAATGATCAATTTTATTATGACATCATTTAAACAAGGAATTACTAATCTTAAAATAATTATCTGTTTTCCCAAGCTGTTTCACATTGACTTTGGGCACTTCCTCGATCACAAGAAGAAAAAATTTGGTTATAAGAGAGAGCGTGTGCCATTTGTCTTAACACAAGACTTTTTAATAGTCATCAGTAAAGGAGCCCAAGAATGTACCAAAACGAGGGAGTTTGAAAGGTGAGCCTTTTTTTTTTAAGCATTTATCTTCCAGAATACTTTCTACCTAAAATGTACTTTACTATTGGTGGCCTTTAGTAAATAGACACTAGAACTGAAGAGTAGTATTTTAATTGCCTTGCAGTGGGTATGTTGTAATACTTCAGTTGAAGAGTGGCCATCCACTTGTATATCAGTAGGTGATCTTAGCACTGACATGGCCTTTGGTTCATGCAACCTCACCTGAGCTTTGCAGGGTCAGCACATGTGTATAAAGATAAGTTTATAAATACCTGGGGTTTTTTAATACTTAGAATCCTCTTGGGATGGCCAAACTGCAAAACCTGGGATTTCTTAAATGTCAGGTGTAATGCGTGTCAGAGCTTTACTTGTGGTGTCTGTCTGAATGGTGCAGTGAAGCTTGCATTTTTTTTCTTAACCTAATGTGAATTAGTCATTTTGGCATAAAAGGGCATTTTTCACTTAATGTTGTGATATGGCAAATGCCTGTCTTCAGTGCATTCTCTGGTGTACCTGAGGAGCAACAAGCGAGCGCCCTTTGCAAGCCACGGGGCAGAAGTGCATCTCTGATAACCAGGAAGGCGCTGTTTGCAGCAGTGTATCAGAACTGCTTTGAAATGTGAAACATCGGTAGCAGTGGCTAAAATGGCTCTGTGAGCCCCCATAAACTTGTGTGGACCATTTGTGTGAACTGCAGATGAGGTTTCAGGCTAGAAAGCCTATCTTCAGTTCAGCTACTGTGTTTGTCTGACCACTGCTAACTCTCAGAGAAAGGAAGATAAGGGCAGCAGGGTAAGATAAGGGGAGGAGGCTGTTTCCTCAGCTGCATTATGGTGTTCTTAGACTGACTGTCCGGTTTTGGAGGTGAAGTACTGTTTTCAGCTAATGGGGAAATACGCTGAGCTGCTTTTCCCTGTCTCTTCCAGGTTTCAGGAGATGTGTTACAAAGCTTATTTAGCCATTCGGCAGCACGCCAATCTCTTCATAAATCTGTTCTCCATGATGTTTTTTTAGGAATGCCAGAACTGCAGTCCTTTGATGATATTGCATACATTCGAAAGACCCTTGCATTGGACAAAACAGAGCAGGAAGCTCTTGAGTACTTCATGAAGCAAATGAATGATGCTCACCATGGCGGTTGGACAACGAAAATGGACTGGATCTTCCACACAATAAAGCAGCATGCTTTGAACTGAGATGAAAGCAAAGAAAACAAGAACTGGTAGCCTGCTTTGTGGGTACTGCACTGTTAATACCCGTTAGCAGCAAAGACTGGTTGCATAGGAATTGCACAAACCACGAACAACGTTAGAATTTCTGGCAAGAAATAGATGAACTGTTCAGACAACTGTTGGGAAAAAAAAAGTGATGTGAAACAGGGTTTCAGATGGCACTAAAATTGTACATTCAAAAATTAAGCTTTAGTATGATGTGTGACTTCATGTTATGCCTTAAGCCCAAAAGATGAATTTGGAAGGTTTCCTTTTTTCATTTGAGAGGATAAATGAGAAGGAAAAAGAAAACAGTGCTAGCATGAGCATAAGAGTCCATCACATATTACCTTAGATCTGGTACAGCAGGTAGAGCCTATGCTAGCTTGAGAAGAGTGGAAAAGGAATTCAAGTGATAGTGAACACATAATGCAGCATAATTTGAAGGGAAGGAGTTGTAAGCTCAAAGATCTAAAAATGGTAGTGAGAGGACAGTGCCTTTTAAACATGCTCAGAGGCATTAACACTTAGGGGGTTTAGATGACCCTTTGATTTCTGGGTCTGTCACCTGCACAGTTTCTGAAAGCAGTAGGAAACAGGCCCATTTGGTATGGTGTTTCTTCTGCTCAGTATTTCTAGGGGTGCAATTCATACCTTCAAAAAGAAACTCCCTCTCATCCCCAAAAACTGACTAACCTGGAAATTGAATGGTCAGAATTGGGTTTAGTGCAACGGAGCGTTGTAGTGTTCATCTTAGGTTTGCTTTAATCTAACTTGAACTGAATAGATTTTTTTCATACATGTTTTCCAGAACCTAAAGAAAGGTGAGTTATTAAAATTATTGAAAGATTATTTTTTTATAAAGGCTATTTATATAATAGGAACTATTATTAATATATATTCTTTATTTACATGATTTGTCCAATAGTCACTCTTTTAATTTTGCAGCCCAGTTCTATCTGTCCAAGCCTCCCGTTTCCATTAACATCACTGAAGGTGACCAGGTATACTCCTAGGACCAAATTCAACCCTGGTGAAAGGACATGAGTTCCGTTCAAGTAGTGGGAGCTACACCCACTAATGCCAGAGGTGAACTTGGCCTAAGTCTCTTCAAAATATTTTGGGCATCACTCTTAGCATTACAGAAGCGATAAGCTGGCTGTTCAAGGAACGTGTGTTTAAACCCTCAGTCTTTGGGTCCACCGTTTCTCCTCTTTCTTCCTCTGGAAGTGGTTGTTGAATCCAGTACAGATACATCAGAAATAGCGATTTAGCTTTCCAATACGATCAGTAATAAGCAGCTCAGCATACAGCAGATACGTTGGCTAGCTCAAAGCATGTGGAGTTACCAAACGTTTTATAGCTTTGTCTGTTTTGTGTGTGCGCGTGTGATATATATATTTGTAAATCTAGCTGTCCTCTAACGCAATTATGTGTGCAATCAATTAAATTGGCACCACTTCTTGAACCTCCTCAGAGTACTGAGGATTTCAGATTGCCCTTATCCCCAACTTCAGCTAGGACTGGTTTTCTAATTATTCAACAGGTTTTTTAATTAGTGAACCCATGATTCTGAGGGTGATGGTCACCCTAACATCTTCAGCTTGCTAGATTGGCAGCACTTGGAGTGAATTCCAAAGATCTGGGGCTTTTGGGGGTTCAGGTCATTCACTCGCAGACAGGCACCGAGGTGCTACTCGAAGTGCAATACCACGCGTAGTACACAATGCGCTGACAGCCGGTGTTAGGTTAGAATGTAAGCATAGGAATGAATTGTACTTGGTGCAGGCTGTACTGATGAGGTAATGAGTGGTTGGCTACAATCAGCAATTTGTAATATATTAAAAATGTGCAATCGGTTACCTGGTGAGAGACTTCAGGGATTGTCAAGGCAAGACTTTGGGGTCTCACGACACTTTGGTAGTCAAGATCCTGCAGTAGGTTACTGCACGCGTGGATACTTGACGTTGTGGGGGGAAACCCGTTTTTGTGAGAACTACAGAAGTTCCAAGAATAGTATGGGGAATGTGAAGTTTTATTTCCGTAGTTCTATTGAATCTCTTGGAGTAGTCCAGTAGACTTCCCACTACTGTTTTTATTGACTGTTACATACTCCCTTTTGTTCGTATGGGTATTTTAACTCCTCCTAACCTCCGTCGTACTCTCCAAAGCAAAACTACCCTTGTATGTATTACTGTGCAGTCAACACACTAAATGTTTAGCTCTCTTAAAACATGGCTTAGTTTCATTTGAAATTTAGTTCACAAAATCTGAAACCCTGTTGGCTGTAACTCTTGAGTTTAACCGAGTAAAACTTGCACAAATGCGACATTAGGTGCTATATTATCTCTATTTACCTGGTATTGAAACAATGCTTTACCTCGTTTATCTAAGATGGACAGCCTTTTCCAGCCTGGATGAAAAGATCTGCTCAAATCTAGTGGATGTTATGAGCCCAACTTCTTTTGTACTCTGCCCCTTCCTTGCCATTTACTTCTGTAAATATGAGTGTGTTTGGTTCACGCATAGTGTTCTGCACCCTTTTTGCACAAATGGGAAGGTATGAGGCATCAGGCTATGTTTCCAAAAGTTACTGCAACGAAATGCTGCGCACAAGCGGTAGAAGTTACGAACACCAGGTAGTAAAAGAAAGGAAACTTCGTAGTGATACAGATCCAGTATGATTTTGGGATAATTGCAGCCTTTAAATCTTTAAAAGTAGAAGCTCGTGGGCTTTAAGCAGATGTTCTTACAATAACCAGGATGAGTATTTGAAACATTTTGCCAGTGTTTGGGGGAGGAAAATAATCCTTTTTTCAGCTTCAGAGCATTCAACCCTAATTACCTTATCCTGGTAAGGCCAGTTTTGTGCTGATGGTGCTTCACTGAACAGAGGGCAGGTACTTACACTGGTGTAAATGAGAGCATGTCATCTGTTCTCGGTATCTGAAATCAAATCTGCTTACAGACGCTCCAAGACATGTAACTGAGCTCTAGATTTTTACAGAGACTGCTTGGAATTTGGGTTTTTATTTTTTAACTATTCCCACTACAGGGAGACTTGGAAAATGTTCTTTTTATTCTGAGAATCAGCTGCGCAAAACACTAAGTAGCTTATTTTGAGCCTGAATCTGAACACCTTGCTTTGGCAAAATTTTTAGTACCGGAGCAAGGAGCCCAAGGTTGGGCCGTGTGTTCTATTACAAAGCGATAGGAAATGAGTTAGTGAAACATGAATTTAAAAGCAGTAACTTATTCAACTGTGAAACTACATTTGATTTAATGACTGAACAGGCTGCTGCTGAAAAGTTTTTCTTAAATATATTCTTTGCTTTCCTAAAGGTAGCAGAAAACGCACCTGTACTGACTGATATACACCCACTTTTCTGTTCTGGAGTGCATTAGTAGTGTTTTCATAGCTGAAACAGGCTTTCGGCATGCTTTTAAAAATAAGAAAGGAATCATTTACGTAAAACGAAGGTGGTTGGTGGTTTGGCATCTCGTGGAGAAGGTATACGCCTGCATATTAAAGGCAGTATAGAACCTACCAAGCTTGTAGAGAACTTCGTTGTGACCCTGCTGTTGGTGCTTTGGAGGGTTGTTTTTGCGTGTGGGTTGTTTTTTTCCCAACTTACCTTTTCATGTAACATATGAAATGCCCTTTAGTGGTCAGTAGCCCATGTTTGTTGACAATTTGAAGGTATTTTCTTTGCGTTGTCATTTTATAACTGGCATGTTCCAATGTCTGTTCTCAATGATTGTGAATTGCTCCTGTTTTGCATGTCTGTACAGGTTGCAGAGCTGGGCTGGGCCCATTCAAAAAACAACCATCAAAAAAGCCACTAGAAATTATTACTTTATTTCTGACATCTTGAAAATGCTTCAAGTTAATGAAAATGGTGTGGTATTACAGAAAGAATTGTAACTTGCTGCTTTTAAGTTGTTTTTTTTAATGTTTCTTTATCTTGTTTTAGTTTTCCTTGAATGGAAGAACCACCATACTTGTTGTTTTGGGGTGTTTTTAATACTATATAGCTGTGGATGTTGTTGCAGATTGTTGAATCCCAACTTACTTTTGCAATACATTCGTACAAATAATGAAATTGGATGGTTTTGTGCTGGAAGTTCTCTCTGTTTAGGTAAGGCTCTGTGTGTCCAAAATGTGTAGCTCATGGCCCCTGCAGCTGGTGTGGGTTTCCTGGGTTTTTGTCTTGTTTCAACATTTGTATTAATGAAGGGAAGCCAGCTGGAAGCTGGATAGAGAAGTTCTCTGTCTGCGTACACTAACAAAATCTACAGGTGCTCTGGTCTCTGGGAAACTCCAATTTCACTTTATGCTGATCTAACACTGACTTCATCAGAATCTCTCTGGATTTACAGCAGCGTATGAAATCGGAATTACACTGTATGTGTATTAAAGTTCCAGATTACTTCCTCGTATGATTCCATATGAAGGGTGTTCTCTGAAGAGGAATGTTTATTGGCAGCCCAGTTAAATGCTTGACAATTTGACTCTGAAATAGCCTTTAACTAACCTTTTCAGCTCTCCAATTCATAACTCTAATTTTGTCTATGGCTGCTTTCATTCTTGAATTTCTGGATTTTTATTGCTTGCTAGGTTAAATATTTCCTCTTCCTACTCTTTCATGGTATAAAGACTTGTTGAACCCACACTCAGGAAAAGTAGCTGTTCTTAATTTGCAGTACAGTATTCTTGACTTCTGAGCTCCATGGGATAGACTCTTAAGTATGAGGTCTTAACTGTGTTAGCAGTCCTGACTCTAAGCCAGAAGTGGATCCCTCTGTCCCCATCCCTCCCATTCCCTCTCCCCTAAAAAGGGACATGCCCATAGCATAAGAACAACATATTTGTAAGAGAAGATCAGTTGAAGCAATGCTCTGCCTGTACTTTGAAGCTAGCCATTCCTGTGGGTTTGCAGAAATGTGTCTTAAGTGTCCTTACTGTCACTTTTGTATGTGCTGCAATATTCCTTCAGCATAAAGAAAGGCCAAAAATAACATGTATTTTATCTTTTTCTGAAATGCTAGTGCCAATTCCCCAGTAACTATTACACTGGCTTAGGAATCGTTCAGTGTAACTGCATCAATGTAATTTAACACTGGAAGAAGTTCCTAACAACTCACAGTTAATCCTGGCAGATAACTCAGATACTCACAGCTGCAACCTCATTCTGTTGTTGTTTTATTATTACTTTCCTTTAAGTACATCAAATGTATTCCCAGGCTTTATAAATAGTGTTCTAAATTATCACCTACCCCGGGCTATCAGAAGTTGTCTTACTGTTTCATTTGGGGCAGGGGAGGAAGAGATTAATCCTCTTGTTTCTATTCT